TTGCCTAATTAAGGCAAGGTTACATTAAGGAGGTTAAAAGTAAAATAACATAATTTGACCTTGATTCTTTTTTTTTTTTTTTTTTTGTGGTACGCAGGCCTCTCACTGTTGTGGCCTCTCCCGTTGCGGAACACAGGCTCCAGACGCGCAGGCTCAGCGGCCATGGCTCACGGGCCCAGCCGCTCCACGGCACGTGGGATCCTCCTGGACCGGGGCACCAACCCGTGTCCCCTGCATCGGCAGGCGGACTCTCAACCACTGCGCCACCAGGGAAGCCCTGACCTTGATTCTTGATGGCCAAATTAGTGGGGTGTCTCTAACATCTCTGATATTTAAAAGGAAACCTTCCCCTAAACAGAACACAAGCAAAGGGATAAAGTAAGTGAACAGTCCTTCACCAGCTTGCTTCAAAGTAAATTTTTGTGATTCAAAGAGTAGATTTTATGGAAAAATTCCATCTTTTTTTCTCTCTCTTTTCTGAAGAGATAGATCTGCTAGGCTGGGAGCTGATGGGAGGGACTAAGGGGGAAATATATGTCCACATGATAACTAGACAGAGACTTAATACAAATCGTAAACTAAGGATTTTCCCACCTAACCTTCTGAAGAGGCGCGCTGATCTGCAGTCATTCGGTACCGTATCTCCAACCTCCCTCTGCTCTTGGCTCATCCCTTCTCAGAAAGGACACTACACAGGACTTGGAGGGGAAAACTGTCGAGGGCCAGGAGAAAGGGCCAAGAAATCTCATCTAAAGTCCCCCATCCCTCACATCACTGCCTTTTCGATTTCTGAATATAAAATATCTGCCTGCTAGAAACAGTTCCTATCCTGTCACCATGATTTAACTGTGACATTAAGTGGGATTCTAACATAATCGAGGCAAGAAAAAGAGTCTTTCTGAACAAATGTGAGGATCATTTGTAAATGGCAGGGTTAGTAAATTAAATATATCTGTTCTGCTTGATATAATAACCACCATTTCACGTGCTTACTATGTACTAACCACTGTTTTAAGTAATGCACACACATTAACTTGCTTAACCACCACAACATGATGGAGTAGAGCTTTACTTACTCGCTTGAAAGAGGAAAAGTCTAAGGCTCAAGTATGTTGCATAAATTTCGCAAAGTTACTCTACCAGCAAGTGATAGAACCAGGATTCAAAAGTTTGTGCTTTAAACCACTTACACCTCGTTACTTTCTCAAAAACTCCAAGGGGACTCAAAGGCCTGTTTTAAATAGTAGTTATGACAGGCAAGCACCAATCGTTTTCAGTATTGGTAACCTTCATGTTCTAATACTAGAATTCATGTTAAACTTTCACATTTGTACTCTGATTCCTTCCTCAAGCCCTAAATAATTATACAGCCAATTGTTTACTTAGAAATGTGTTCATCCATTCTGCTTTTATGACCTGAGAAAGCCTGAAAAGTCAACAGTAACACGCATTGTCACTAAGTGAAACATTTACCTCCCAGTGGCTTTCGTACGCTCATCATTCCCCATTTCTGAGAATCTGCCACGCTTCCTCTTGGGATTGTTTCTTTGTCTCTACCCTCTTCTATCATTCTTCGTCTCACCTTTACTTTCATCTCTCTTTGTATGTCTTATGCTTATTCCTCGTTCTCAGGATCATGGCTGAGCCCAAGCATCAGTCACTTACGGAGTAAACCAGCAGGCTACTTGCTGTTTTCACCCATATTTCCCTCCTCGGCAGCAACACCTCACCCTCCACATGATTCTGGATCCCCCGGGTGTATGATCTTAGTGGGCAGCAGCAGAGTTTGAGAAAGGATGGGAAAAGGCAGGAGGGCAGTCATAGTGTGGAATATCTCACTGGTGGAGAAACACATGATAAAGATACCTAATCCCTAAAAGCCAATGATCCTTAGTTGATTTGGTTGACAAGGGAACGCCTGTAGGACAGTGCTTAAACGCATGTGCTTCAGGGTCTAAGTGTGTAGTTTGGAATCCCAGCACTGCCATTTACCAGATCCAATCCTGGGAAAGTGATCTGACATCGCTGTGTCTCTGTCACCTTCACATGGCGCATTTAAACCTCTGAGCTAAACATTTGGTGATGACAGTATGTTGCCCACTGGTATCAGCTATTATTACTTAGAGTCACAAAGCTTTAGACTTGGGTGACCTTTTAGAAGTCAATTCCTAACTTTTATTGATAGGGAAACTGAGAAAAAGAAAGGAAGTAATTTGTCTGAGGGTACACAGCAGATTTTCCTACTCAGCGGGCCAGGATATTCGCCACACTATCAATGGTCTTTCTAGAAACTTCTTGGTCACAGTGCCCTCTCTATTGTTTACGCCTCACGTATTAAAAAACAATGTCTGTAAGTTGTTTTTCCTCTTGAGTTGATGGATTTATGCTGAGCCATTATCTCACCTATCTGCTCTGAGGGAAGGAAGGAAAACTAGACAGGATTAGGGATGCCAGAGACAGGCATGGGTCACAGTGGAGTAAACAGCACCCACCGCAGCCTCACAAGTGCGCTGTGGGCAATGAAGTAATCAGCCTCACACAGACCTGGAATAATAATAAAAAAAAAAACACGGGGTCATACTGACCACAGAGTTCATCCTTCTAATTCCCTGACAACTGTAGGTTGATAAAAACAGGTCCCAAGGTAGATTAAAAGGCCTGTGCACAAGTATGTTCATTGAACTCAAATCTTGTCTTTATTAATCTAATCTGAACAACAAAGAAAAAAATTTAAAAATAGTTTTAATTCTGAACTGACTGGAACAAAAGAGACAGGACTATTTGGTTAACATGGTGGTGTTAACATGGTGGTGTTAACATGGTGAAGACTCAACCTGGATGTGGTCCTGCCCTACAGAGCTGCCTGAGAGCCTTCCTGGGGTCTGAGGTGGCTTTCAGATAAGGGACATCACCCACTTGTTTTAATCTTGCTTACTCCAAATTAAATCTCTTCATCCAGCTCATGTATTACCTTATTCATTGCTAGTCCCCAAATCTCTGTGCAGACTTATCCTTTGGATTTAAACCTTCAAAAGATATCTGGGGGCTTCCCTGGTGGCACAGTGGTTGAGAGTCTGCTTGCCGATGCAGGGGACACGGGTTTGTGCCCCGGTCCGGGAGGATCCCACATCCCGCAGAGCAGCTGGGCCCGTGAGCCATGGCCGCTGAGCCTGCGCATCCGGAGCCTATGCTCCTCAACCAGAGAGGCCACAACGGTGAGAGGCCCGGGTACCAAAAAAAAAAAAAAAAAAAGATATCTGGATATAGCCAGGTGGAAGTGAGGGTGGTAGGATTTTGGGTGTTTTGCTTTTTCGCTTTTTTATAGACTTTTTTTAAGAGCAGTTTTAGGTTCACAGCAGAATTGAGCAAAAGGTGCAGAGATTCCCATGTTCCTTCTTGCGCCACACGTGTGTAGCCTCCCCCATTACCAAAATCTCCCAAGGGGTAGAGTTGTTTTCACTCCTGTCATTCACACTATTAACTTTTTTTTTTTTTTTTTTTTTTGCGGTACGCGGGCCTCTCACTGTTGTGGCCTCTCCCGTTGCGGAGCACAGGCTCCGGACGCGCAGGCTCAGCGGCCATGGCTCACGGGCCCAGCCGCTCCGCGGCACGTGGGATCTTCCCAGACCGGGGCACGAACCCGTGTCCCCTGCATCGGCAGGCAGACTCTCAACCACTGCACCACCAGGGAAGCCCAACATTTTTTTTTTAATTGTTCCCTCCTTGTTACAAACTGGCAGCTGCCATAGTAAATATCGGAACATATCTTGTTTTCTCCTTAGCATGTTTATCTCTGCCTCCCAGGCGTTTCTGTTCTTACTAAAATCATAGAAGCTTCTCGTTCCATCACACTGGCACCACATACACAAAGCAGCCGGGAAGACATTTTAATTATTCCAGACCACAACACCTGAGGTACACTTCTGAGTAACTACTAAGAAGGAAGCTTTAGAGACCCATACAGGGAAACCAAAGGCTGAACTAGACTAAAACCTGAGGTGTTGGCCATAGCCAGTCACTGCAAAAACGGCATCTGAACCTGGACTTCCTAATCCCAGTCCAGGCCTCTTTCTGCTGGGGGTGGGGACTTTTGGGATGCTGTCACCTTTGAGGAATAGCATCTGATAATTCATTAATGAAACACACTTTGGAGGAGTAGAGGCCCATTGGTCGGGTCCCTCTGAGAACGAATCACTGCTCTAAGACAAAGTGCTGTGGGGAAGAGGCTGGGGTGTGTGTGGTGTGTGTGTGTGTGTACACGTGTAGGGGTGGGACAGGGTAGGCTGCATTTTCATAAGGATGGTAATAGATCAAAGGACATATATTTTGGTCGAGCTGAGAAGTAGTTAGAAAGCAGAGTGGGCTGAGAACCAAGTACTGCATATGCTACTAACTTGCTGTGTGATCTTACGGAAATCACGTTTCTTCTCTGGATCTCAGTTTCCCAATCAATAAAGTATAAAGATTGCTTACTACCCTTGCAAAAATATGATTCTAGGAGAGATCTTGAAGGGAAGAAGGGGGCAGAGGGAGGAAAGGAGGAGAAGGAGGCTGAACCGAAGGGAGGTAAGTGTGTGTGAGGGAGGGAAGAGGGGTGGAGAGAGATAGGAAATGTCTTTTAATCAGATAGTGGGAAAAAATTGAAAATGAAACTGTGCGCCCCTTAAGGTCTCTATTTTTCATCTTTATGCATTTTTACTGTTTAGATATACGGAGTCATTTTTGGATAAACGTAGATTGAATGAATGGAAAGCCTGGGAAGGCCAACAGAGGAAAAGAGCTAGGGGAGAAAAGAAAGGAAGAGAGCTCGGGAACACTCTGCGCGCCTGCTCTTCCTCGGCCTGTACCCCCTTAGGGTACAGCTCCCACGCTCCCTCTCGCTTCCCCGTAAGCCGCCCCGAAACCGCCAGGGGGCGCTGCGCGGCGGCCGGGCCGGCCGGGGCGGGGCTGCTTTAAATCGCGGCGCCCAGCGGCTCGGCGTCTCAGTCCCGGCCCCGAAGTAGCTGCGGATTCTCGCCTACCAACTCCAGCGCCAACCCGGACCCGGACCCAGAGCTTCTCCGCGCAGCTCCGCCACCCCCGGGAGTCCCGGGGCGCACCTGCAAACTCCCGCTTGTGCACCGGCCGCCCCCGAGCCGGTGCGGGAGCCCGAGCGAGCCATGGCCAACGCGGGGCTGCAGCTGCTGGGCTTCATCCTGGCTTTCCTGGGCTGGATTGGCTCCATCATCAGCACGGCGCTGCCCCAGTGGAGGATTTACTCCTACGCTAGCGACAACATCGTGACGGCCCAGGCCATCTACGAGGGGCTGTGGATGTCCTGCGTGTCGCAGAGCACCGGGCAGATCCAGTGCAAAATCTTCGACTCCTTGCTGAATCTGAACAGTGAGTGCACTCCCTACTCCCGCAGCTGTGACCCAGGGACCCAACCCCCCAGTGGCTCCGTTTTGGAGGAGTAGCTACCAAACGACCCTGTTGTGTGATTACATGTCTATCAACCTTCAGTGGATCAAGTCTTCTGATCACCTGTTCTGCCATGAGGAAGTGAGAGAGACCTGTGGCTTGGGGAAGGGGAGGCCCAGACCTAAGCTCTTGTTTTTCCTCTGACACCCTGGGTGACACTTTTCTGTAGGTGTGGTTTCATCTTACATGCCTACGACTGGGGTGGTGATGGAGCGAGTGAAGGCCAAACTAACTTGAGCTCTTAGGCCTCTCCTGGACATTCTCAGATTCTGTGAAAATTGAAGAACTGTAGAGTTGGGTCAAGAAAATGATATGCCTTGAAAAGTTTGGAGCCTGGTAGCTTCTCCAGTTTGTAAAATTAAATAGATAATCCCAAAGTTATTACATAGGATTTTTTTTTTCCCAATCTGTCTTTACTGTGGGTTTTCATAGGAGAAATCACATTCCTACATGGAATGTCCCAACCTAATGTCTTCTACTCACTTGAGTTTGAATCTTTTGATTCTTTTGACTTTTAAGATCCAGTAAGTGTGAGGAAGCCCCTATGCATCCCCTGGTGTGACTCTTTTTTTTTTTTTTCAAATAAAGGAGCAATTTTAATTTTTTTTTTTTTTGCTTGCTCCAGGTCTTAGTCTCTGCACGAGGTGTCTTCGTTGCGACATGCCGGCTCCTAGTTGTGGCATGAGGACTTTTAGTTGCGGCATGCATGTGGGATCTAGTTCCCTGACCAGGGATTGAACCCTGGCCCCCTGCGTTGGGACCGCAGAGTCTTACCCACTGGATGACCAGGGAAGTCCCTTGAAGAAGCCTCTTAAGATTCTCCAGAGGGTTTAGCTTTCAGGCCAAGAGTGTTCAGAAGAGGCAGACTGTATAATGTTATTTTGGAAAGTGAAGGTGGGTGGCAGGTGGAAAAAGGATGACAACAAAGAGAAGTTCTGAATAACCTCCCTTCATAATATGAAGGGAAGAATGGAGCCACTGAAGACAAATGCCACAAAGGAGACACAGCTGATGAGCTCAGCGTTCAGGAGAGTGAGGGCGGGTCTTCTCTTGAGTTTCTGCCTTCCACAAAGGAATTTCTGTGTAATGGATATTGGCTTCTTATTCTGTCGGGTTGGAAAGGATTATGTAGAGAGAAATAGTCCTAAAGATGGTGGAAAGACGACAGGAATTTTTTCCTTTCATTTTTTTTAAAAATAAAAGCTTTTGAGTGTCTTGTCAGAAACTCATTAAATTCCCACTTACTTAGGTAATAACAATTCACGGCTAGAGTATCTTCCTTGAGATATTACATTAGTTGTCCTGAACCTTGTGTCTGTCATGCACTTGGACTAAATCGAAGAAAAGCTTCCTTAGTCTTTGCCTAGACAGGCAAGCCTGCCCACAAGTCCCCTTTGTGTGCTGATGGTAAGCAGTGTTGTCATCGCTCAACTTTACTTCAGTTGTTTTGTCCACCTCCTGCGTGTGGTTTAGTCAAAAGCTATATACTTTAGAGTTGTTAAATCTGTGCCAAATCTGTTTAAACCGCTTGAGTACCTCTGGAATTCGGTGAGTCAGTGTACATGCAGTAGTTTTTTTAGTGTTGTCATTTCAGCTTTTCAAAGTTACCGTATTAGGATTCTTTTATGCCAAACATAAGGAGTATATTAGGTACACACCTTTATATAATCATTGAATCTACCCATGGATGGATAAATACATGTAAGAAATTGTATCAGACATATCATGTTGAGGAATTGGCAGGTGGAGACCATTCTAAGGGCAATTCCAGAGAGGTCTCTGATTCCTCTGATCAAAATAGTTCATTTTCTACATGTTTAAATAGGTTTCCTGTTAACTGCCTTAAAGGACCAAATGAAATCAGATTGATCCATGTTGTCAATACTCAAACAGGTCATCCCTACTCATGATAATGTGTTAAAATGTTTTATTTTCATTTATTCCTAATTAATATAGCTGTTACAGTTTTTAAAGCTGTGGTAGAAGATCTAAACAATACCTTCCCTCTACCCCATACACATTTTGGAGATTTCTTCCTGATGAATTTTTTTTAACTCCAGATCAGATTTCTTTTCTTTTTCGTTAAAGCCAGAGTTTATTGAAGGTGGGGCTGAGGCCTTTCTCTCAAAACTGATTCCCAGAAGGAAACTTGACTCATTTGTACCCTCTCCAACCTGCCAGTAACTAACTAGATGTCTTTGGATGGAGGCCAGAGAACCTACCTGTCTCCATTTCTCTACCTGGACAGCTGTGCTCACACCCACCTGATGTAGAGAGCTGGGGAGGTGATTCATTGGCTGGTTTTGGTATAGTTCTGTGACATCTAGAGGTGAACAGGATTATCTGTACGTATAAGCAGTGTTCCTTGTAACAAGTTGTGTTCCACAAAGTGCTTTTAGGTAAAAAGCTTAGCTAGAAGTTTCTTGAAATTGTACCTTGTTCTTTTTGCCAGTGGAGCCCATCTGGCAACTTAGGGCCGAGATTCCGGGATTTATCAAGGTTGTAGCGCTAGATATGTTAAAATCCCTTATTCCCTTTCTCTAATTAGTTTCAGCTGTAAAAAGAACGTGACAGTGTCTATAGGGATACAGTGTGCATAAGCCAATATACGAAAGGAGATACAGCCAGGCTTCTTTAGGTGGTTCTTGGAAAGCAGTTTATGAAAATGTAACTGGGGAACTTCCTGGGGAAACAAATCTTATACCGTGGATTGTGGTTTTACTATGGTTGAGACAGTTTCACTCCCATCCAAGTATGGATGTTTATTGACATTGATGACTGATAGTTGGATTATACAAAAAAGAGTGTCAGATAGAGTTGCAGTCGACTTTTCTTGATTAAACTGTACATCTTGCCTTGTTTTGATCCCATGCTCAAACTTTTGGCAAGCCAGTGCCTATTTCATGTGCTTAGTTAATTGCTTCTTCTGGCTTGACTTTAATAGCTAGAGCTGTCCAAAGACTGGGTTGCCCCAGGAGGTTGCATGGTGGGAGGTGGGAAAGCAGAGGAATAAGTAAGCGTTTTGAAGGAATGTTGTAGGGAAAAATCCAAGTCCCAGACAAATGGGAGGTTAGGCTAGACTTTCTCTAAGTCTCATCTAGCCTTGGGATTCTGTAATTTGTTTATAAGTTCCTCTAGGCTGTTCAACTTGCTTTGCATGAATCCACATGTGTGTTGGTGTGCTTTAATAAGTACTGGTTGTGGGTGAAGTTTCCCAGCACTCTCACCATGATGTTAGGCTCAATCAAAGAACAAAATCACTGACTTGGACAGTCTTTGAAGCACAGGCAGAGAGGAGGGCACCCGCTTACACTTCCCTAGACTGCATTATGCCTGCTGAACCAAGGGTGTTTAAGGGGCCATTTGTGTTCAGATCCGTTTCAAGAATTAGTTCTGACTTTTGGAATGATGAAAGTCAAAACCCAAAGCCAGGCTTGAGTACTCAATTCTTACCCTGGTCTTGCACTAACTAGCCATGTTTATAGTGGTGATCCACTCAATTTCTCTGGGCTGTAGTTTCCCCGCTTATGAAATAGGGCAGAGTAGGAGGAATGGGGAGCTGAATCCATGACTCATTCATCCATTCGACAAGCATGAGCCAGGCCCTATCCGTGTTCCTAGAAATGCAGCTAAGAAGATTGGTAAGATGCAAATGTTGATTCCTTCCAGTGCCAACATTCTTTGTTAATAACTGCAGTGATGGAGCAGAAACAGCCAAGGGGCATGGTTTAGGTTTCCTTGATTGGAGTGATGAGTAAGAGGCACAGAGGTAACATGGAAGCGTACATTTAATCATGAGGCAATTTCTCTAAGAAACAAACAAGGTAGCAAAACTGCTTGGCACATCCTGAAAAAGTGGTGAGCCCTGTCTCTTCCCAGACCACAGTTATTGACTGTGCTGGAGTCTAAGGTCACATCCAACGGCCACCAGTTCATGGTCAATCAAATGGAAATGCTAGCAATGAGGACTCTTGAGAAACTTTGAACTTGAGCAAAAGTGAGCAATTTAATAAGGGAAGAAGTCATGGGAGTATAGTTCTGTGACACTCTGTGATGAGTTCCTTTAATTGCAGAGGAGAGAAGAGGATTTTTGTTCTAGTCAGCCAGTGGTCAGTTTATTTATTTGCCTAATACTTATTAAGGAACTACTGATGCAAAGAGAGACTGTGTGAGGATAGAGACATAATTAAAATCTACTTTGTTTATGATATATAATCATAGGGTAATAATATAGTAATATGGCTAGTAAACAGCATGAACAACGTCACATAGTTAAAGGAGATTCTGCTGCTTGTATAGTAAAACTTTAGAAAAGCTTTAGAAAAAAACATTCCACTGACTTGTCTATGCTTGTCTTTCTACGCTTATGTTGATTAACTTCACTGTAGTAGATCAGTAACTTCTAACTCATTTCTTGTCTCATAAGTAGAGATCTTTGTAAGTATGTTTTCAAATTATACTTTCAGGTTGCAAGTGGTAAGAACTCCTTAAGGAGTCTTTAATCTCAAGATTATCAGTCTAGCTAAGTATAATATAATTAAAAGACTGTCTTCTCCGTGTACTGCTGATAATGATGAGGATAAATAGTGTAACTTGTTGAATGTTTGCTCCAAAGACAACTTCTTTAGCTGCTGATAATAATATTGTAGAGGTATCTGCAAATTTAGTGGGCCAGAAAGGAACATATTTGCTTCTAGATCTGAGCCGATCAGGTCAACTCAGAGATAATAGTTCAAGACTGTATCTCTCTAGTCTAAAATATTTTGCAGCTTTCAAATATTTCTCAACTTCTCTGCCCTACTGATCATTGTTCCACCAGAAGAAAACTTCATCTTGGAAGCTAATTAGATGCATAATTTAGAAAATTTTTTAAAATTATATTGGGTTAAACAAAAAGTATGAATTTTTTCGCCCTAGATGAGTTTCTAGCTTTTAATGATCTAAACTAGATCTGGCTTTATGTAGCAAGGTTTTAGTATTCTGAGGCTTTCTAGGAAGGCGTTTCTCAGTATTATTTCAAAGATGAAGCTTAACACAAAAGAGTATTTTTACCTATCACAGTAGAATTTTTAAAGGATAAAGACATGTTCAAATTTAAATTCACTGAACACAGATTGAGTAATCCATGAAGCTTGCCAGGTACTGTTCTTAGTGCTTTGGATGGAAATATGAACAAATATTTGGCCAAGCCATCAAGGAGCTCACAATTACATATTTTAGATCTCTGACTTAAAAGGCTTCCATAAGACGTTAATTTGAAGGATTCATATGGTTCCAGCTTAAAACTGTGCAGTTTAGATTCTATCTGCCATAAAACCCTCATAACTTGTAATACAACACTTGCTTACTTTGATCTGTAATTCACCATTACATATGCCCAACTAGTGAGTTTTCATGCTGTTATGATTCTCAGCCTTTTTTTTGTATTTTTTACATTTCCCCCTCCCATATCACTATAGTTAAGAATTCATCCAGACGTCTCCAGTGATGCAAGATGAGATTTTGTGACATTTCCTAAGTCAGTGGATACCAGGACGTAAATGAAAAAAAAAAAAATTGCTTCACAAAATAACACTATTGCTTTGTCAGATTTTTCAAAACAAAACATGATCCCCTTGCTCTATATGGTTTACATGATTCCTGAGTATAGGTTTTTCCCCCCGGGTTTTTTCCCCCATTTTCTCCATAATTTTTTGTGCGTTATGAAAATGATACACTGTCCTATAAAGAAATAAAACATACTAGGGTTTGTAGTGGAACGAGTAAAATGGGGCATGAATTAAATGTGCTTTCTTTGAGAACTGAAAGGGGAACAAACTTAGAGATGAAGACAGTGAAAATGAGATAATTCCAGACGAGTGCAGGTGGAGCCTTGGAGTGGTTGATCCATGTACGCTCCCTGCCTGGGTGGTTTTATACAAGCCTGACTCAGGAGATTGAGATCCAGCAGACTCCTCGTGAAGAGTAAACCTTGTGATCCAAGTGCTTAGACCTGCTGGGCTGGTGGCCTGCTGTTTTCACATGAAGCACAGATCAGAATGATTATAGAAGCTGGATCTGGTTTGGGGCCCTATAACTCGAACAAAGTAGAAAACTTTGAGATCAGAGAAAGCAACCACAGTGGTGAATAAAGGGTTGGAAAACTGAGCTTAATGGACAAACAAAGCAAAAGGTGGTGAGAGATGTAAGGGGCTATACATACTTGAAGGGCTATCATATGAAGACAGAGAGTAAAAATCTTGTCACCTCTTCTTTAAGACCCTCCAGTGACTTCTGATCACACTTAGAACAAACTCCAAACCCCTTCCCCTAGCTTGCAAAGTCTTACATGATAAATGCCTTCTGCCTACCTTGCTAACCCACCTCATTTTACTTTTACATCCTACCATCCTCCAGTAGTGACTAGCTTTGCCAGTTTGTCCAGGGTTGAAGACCTTCTCAGGAGTCCGGACTTGTAGCTTTAAAACTGAGAGAGTCCTCGGCAAACGGACAGGTGGTCCCCCTGTCCTCCACGTGGATCATTGTGACTTTCAGTATCTCCTCTTCCAGTGTTCCTTTGCTTGAAATGCTTTCCTTCTAAGTGGAACTTAGGACCAAATCTGAAATCTGTGTTATGTATAAGAGCTTAGTTATTTTTTATTTTCCTTCTAAGTAATGACTGTCTTTGCAAAAACTGTTGGTAAACCAAAAGGAAGGACACACCATAACTGTGGAGTCCTTAGTATTTTCCTCTTCATGCCACAGTATGGTTTGTGATTCCAAAGAAGAAGTGTCACAAACCCATGGTCCGTGAAACCTGTGTTTTGATTCAGGAGTTCTTGTACCACCCTGGAAGTGGTAAGTGTGTGGGTAGGGTGCACACTTGCGCACACACATTTATGGGGAAGTAGATCTATGAGGGGAGCGTGGAAGTGCCTATGATTTGATTTTAATTGAATCAAGTAAAAATTTATCTTGACTTCCAAAATATCTCTCAAATGCAGTTAAAAAAATGCCTTTGATACTTTCAGAAAGTGGTTACTATGATTTTATCATAGATTGCCTGGTTATGGCAAGGATGGAAAAATTAACAATTTAAAATTGATGTTTTAGAAATCTTTAGTCTTTATGATTTGTAGCCTAGGTTCACCACCCTGAAAATACTGACCCTGAGCCTAGGTCTAAATAGAGAGTGAGATATAAAACCTTCCCATGATGTCAGCCCCTTTTTTTTTTTTTTTTTTTTGCGGTATGCGGGCCTCTCACTGCTGTGGCCTCTCCCGTTGCAGAGCACAGGCTCTGGACGCGCAGGCTCAGCGGCCATGGCTCACGGGCCCAGCCGCTCCGTGGCATGTGGGATCTTCCTGGACCGGGGCACGAACCCGTGTCCCCTGCATCAACAGGCGGACTCTCAACCACTGCGCAACCAGGGAAGCCCTATGTCAGCCCCTTTTGAAGACCATCAAGAAGTCAATTGTTCCACCTTCTCCTTAGAGATAACTGTCATTCACACTTTACATAATAAAAAGATGGTCCCAAAGAATAATGAGTAGCTCACCCAAGATAGCATGCTTAGTTACAATGTAAATATTTATATATGCAAAAAAACTTGTCACCTGTTAACACTGTTAAAGAGATAATGATCTTTATTTGAAGGAGGAAATAAAGATAGAATTAATCAAACTCATCTAACCAGCATAGTTTCAGCTTTTTTTCTTTGAAAGTCTGTGTGTCTTTACGCCACAGTGATGGTATCACCTTTTTACTCTTTAAGATACTTACTGGCATAATCTCAAACTTGGCCCTATCGATTTGATTGTGACTTAGTATGCCAATGACAATAACAGGAAATTAGAAAATTAGTGGAATCCTGAGAAATACTACATTGAATTATCTGCTATTTTACAATATAGCAGTTTAAATAGTTTTAAAAACTGGTGATATCTCTGAATATAAACCTACTATGTTCCAAAATAACATCTCAAAGGCTATTATGTTTTGTTCTAAGAAAATGGTGTTCATATCTCCCACCCCACCCGCATCACTGGAGATACAAGTGTTGCTTATCCAGCCATGATAATCTATGAGAAATTCACTAGTTGTCTTCCAGGTTCACCCACCCAGATTTTCTGCAGCTTGATGAGTGGAGTATAAAGCTATTGACTATTACCAAGATATATTGTAAACCATTTTAATTATAAATGTTTTAACATTAAGGATAACACATATGATTGTTATTTCAGAATTAAAAACTCCATTAGTAAGGATTAAAAATGTATTAGTTCAGCTAAACCTATTCAACCAAATCACTAATTATTTTTTCAGAGGATTTTGAGCCTAATGTTGAAAAAGTAAACTGTTAGAGCTGGAGGAATTCTTTTTCATCATTCAGCCAGGTATTTGTTTTTCTGGAGAAGAAACTATGTTGGTTACCTGCAGAAACATCCCTAGAAGCAGAGTCTCCTGACTCCTGGTTAGATTTTCTCTCTTCCATACAACATTGAAATATACTTGGTCTTCTACCACTCTTCTCTTGTTGGTCTAGGTGTGATTTTTACATGTTCTAAAATGTTTTCTGTCAGGCACTCTGCAAGCAACCCGTGCCTTGATGGTGATTGGCATCCTGCTGGGACTAGTAGCCATCTTTGTGGCCACTGTCGGCATGAAGTGTATGAAGTGCCTGGAAGACAACGAGGCACAGAAGATGCGGATGGCTGTCATTGGGGGCGTGATCTTTCTTATTTCAGGTAAGAGAGGCCCTGTCCCCCTTAGACCTTATTAAACTCTCTCTGACATGGGTTAAGGTATAGTTTTTGCTTTCCTGAGATTATGGTGGATTTGTTGCACTTGAATCGATTGAATTCACTTCCTTTAAAATCTGAAGACATAGGAACCTTAAGTCCATTTGAGTTTCACATTCTCAAACAGGAACCAAATGAAAATCTGTATTCACAGTGGACAGGTCTATTCCTTGAGGTTTCAGGTGCCAACTGGTTGGTAGAACCATTCTCCCCAGGTGAAGAGAGATTTTTCTATCTAGCAAACACTGAGGAACAATTCTACGTAATTCAGAAAATTTCTGTAGTGTCTCTTCCGATGCTATGTGGGAAAGATGGGGAATGGTGAGAGAGAACATAAAGAATGTGTCAGTCATACAGGTGTGTGAGGAATGAATGAGACTGGGATTATTGGAGGAAAATGAGGACATCATTCCACGTGGGCAGATCTGACTCCAGAATAAACAGGTGGTACCCGTAGATCAGTGAAGAGAAAGGTCAGTTGGAATGGAGGCGAAATGTTGGAATGGTAGGGAATAAGAGTAAATGAGTTAAGAAAGAAAACAATAGAGAAAGGCCTTGGAAAAAAACCTTGACAAAAGAGTGAGATTACATTTTCCATAGAAAATGAATGTGTATGTATTGCTTTATTCAAGCGTTGATATGTGACCTTTGAGAAAATGAAAGCCAGAAGAAGACATGGACAGGTCACTTGTAAAGCCTTATAATAAGGTTTATATTAAATAAGATTGTGTTTATATATAAAACAATAGACTATTATATATACTAGTTGTCTATTGTTTTGAAATGGACTAGTATATATAGTATATATATATAGTAGTAGTAGTATGTAGTAGTCTATTGTTTTTGAAAACAACACCAGTGATATAATCTACCACTAGGAAACACTAGAATTCGACTTTTTTCTCATTTTCTCTTTAACAAAAGTATGTGGATTTCATCAATAATGAAGGAAGAGTGCCTGTGGCTTTGCTAAAGGTTTGGTTAAAGTTTATTCAAATTAATCCTAGATAGCATTTTATTCCCAACAGTTTGATTTTACATCAAAGGCTGTGAATGCACTTACTGTGTAGGACCCTTCCTCCGCTTGCCTTCTTGTAACTCCGGTACATCACTTCCCCAGTCTCAGGGACTTCCTAGGGAGTGAGGCTTGCAAGTTCTACAGCACTTGCATGGTCTGCTTGAGCAGCCAAAGCAATGGTGTTTTCTCTCAAGTATTAGAAGCAATTAGGTTGGACCACTTTTTTTGTAGGAGGAAGGGAGCAGAGGGGGTAGCATAGAAATATTTAATCTGTCTAAATTGATGAATTTTTAGAATGGCTATAAAAAGAAGTTATTTAATTTCTTTGGATAAGAAAAATCAAGGTGTTGTATACTTCTTATGAATGGTAGAGTGGGTTATTTTGACTAAGTAGTTTCTCTGGCCTTACTGAAATGTGAAAGGCATGAGAAATTGAGTGTTCAGCACATATTGATCTGATGTGGCACTTCAGCGAATCTCATGGCAAGACCTGGCACATCTGGCCAGTGAGGCTGTAGGAGTTCAGGTGATCTAGTGCACTCTGAGACAGGTCCTACTCGTTCCTGCTATCTAGCTATTTACTTTCATTTTGATTCTTCAGAAATGTGAATTTTAGGGCTTCCCTGGTGGCGCAGTGGTTGAGAGTCCGCCTGCCGATGCAGGGGACACAGATTCGAGCCCCAGTCCGGGAAGATCCCACATGCTGCAGAGCAGCTGGGCCCGTGAGCCATGGCCGCTGAGCCTGCGCGTCCGGAGCCTGTGCTCCGCAACGGGAGAGGCCACGACAGTGAGAGGCCCGTGTACCGCAAAAAAAAAAAAAAAAAAAAAAAAAAAAGAAATGTGAATTTTGAGTTTTGGTCAAGAAGAATGTAGAAGGGTTTTCATCTTCCCTTTTGTATTGTAAGTGACTAGCTTTACTAATAAGGACTTTGGTTTTACCAAAAGTAGTCTAACACAGTGATGTATAACAATATATTTGAAAGAGATCTTAAATGACATGAACCTGCTGAATATTTCCAACAGAATGTTGTTTGTGCCGGTGACCTTCAACTCTAAGTGAATAAAATGACATGAATGTTATAAACTATGCCTAACTCCCACCTAATATTTTCATCTGTCTTAAGAGAATACTTAGAATAAATCATGTCTGAACCTCTAATCTCCCTAAATTAAAGTCGTCTGAATTAAAATGGATTAAATTAAAAATGTCAGCACTATTGATGAGATTTAATTCTTGTAAAATACTTATAAATTTAATGAGCCGTATGTTTATGCTCAGTGTTCCATAGTGGTTAACAGTCTTTTGTTTTGAATTTCTGTAGGTCTGGCTATTTTAGTTGCCACAGCATGGTATGGCAATAGAATTGTTCAAGAATTCTATGACCCCATGACCCCGGTCAATGCCAGGTAATGCTGTTCACTCCTAAAATAGTTTGTTCTCTGAGAAAATACCCTTTTAATGTTCTGCAAAGTCCAGCTTGTGCCGTAGCTTCCCAGATTTGCTATCCAGAATTTTATGGAACTTCTGTCAAACTTGAAAATAATTTGAATGGCCTGTGCCTCATGTCTGATCATTGCTTTAACAGCAATGATTGCTTTAACAGCTATAATCATTGCTTTAACAGCCTGTATTGATAACAAAATGAACTTCAAAGTAGAAAAGTTCTAAGCTGTATACTTTCCAAGTGTATGCTGGACTTTTTTTCATATTTAAAAAATGTTTTTAAGATTAATAAAGATACCAACATATTTGAAATTTTATTTTTGAAGTGTATTCTGAAACTTTTAACACTTGTGATTATTTGTAACTAAACACATGACTGATTGCAAAAATAGTACTGTTGTAGAGGTTAACAAATAATATGTCATTTCTAATGGTTTAATCCTGTTTATGAAAAAACAATTTATTTATGAAAAAGAAAAGTTAGCACTTTGAAATACTGTGTTCCATCACAACCATAAAAATAACTTTAGAAAGGTCATCCTTCTTAATATTACAAGTTGTGGAAGTTAAAGGGCTGACTCTTGGCTCTCACGTAATGACACCCTTTGATCAGAGACACGGCTCTTTGTCTCACTGTGTTCACATCTTTAAACCCGAATAACTATATTCTGAGTCAGAATGTTAAGATGTAATTATTGTTTGTTGAGTGCTAAGACGAATGGATGAAAAATCCCAGTGGTGGAGAGATAAGGTATGCTTCTTTGTATAAAATCACCCACATAGAGGAGAACACATACTGCAGTGATTGTGTTGGGACCCATCCCATAAGATCTACACTGTAAGCACAGAATCTGCTGGAGGTCAGTAGGCTAAAATTTTACCAGTAATGGATATGAAAGCACTTTATAAATTGCTAGGCACTGTACGCTTATTTACATTGTCCCACATGATTCTGAAAGCAGTCCAGTGAGGCAGATGGAATCATCCTGCTTTAAGAGAAGCAGCAGCTGAGGTTGAGAAGAGGAGTTACTGGCCCACAGTTTAGCAGTTGAGAGTTTGCATCAGAATTCAAACTCAGGCCTTATAACTCTAGATCCAGCCCTTCTCTCTCCTTATTGTCCACCATCAGTCACAGATCTTCTCCCCAGAAGTATGGCTTCATACATCCACCTGGATCAACTTAACCTAGAATGATCTATGAGCTGATTAGAAGTCTTTTTTGCAAAACCATAAATTTCAGATTTCAGTGTTTATCAGTGACTGACTATTGAAAACTCTGTCTCCAACACCCTCTAGCAGTTTCTTTGTAGAATTTGGTTGCTACTTGGTGATAGCATGACTTGTTAAGTTTTAGCCTAGGAACCATTGTCCAAACCTGACTTCCAAGGTATATATAAACATGCTTTACAAGTCTCCTACACATGAAAAAGTCTTTGGAACTATTTGTATAATTAACCTGGTGTTGCATGCCACATTGCCTGATCTACTATTGCAAATTGTCAACAGCTGCAATGTGAACATTCTCGTGTGTGTGCCCACAAACCTTAAAGTACTTCGCAGAACTTAAAGCGATCATGGGGGATTTTTTTTCAGCAGAAAAAATATAATGAGTGTGATATTGATTTCATTCTTTAATTATATTAGAGAAGTTTCCAGTGATTCACTGATTAAGCAAATACATTGTCTCTTCTTTTCAGGTATGAATTTGGTCAGGCTCTCTTCACTGGCTGGGCTGCTGCTTCCCTCTGCCTTCTGGGAGGTGCCCTACTTTGCTGCTCCTGTCCCCAGAAAACAACATCGTACCCAACACCAAGGCCCTATCCAAAACCTGCACCTTCCAGTGGGAAAGACTACGTGTGACACAGAAGCAAAAGGAGACAACCCTGTTGGAACAATCAGAAAATGAACATTGAAATACTGTATTGGCGTTAAGGTCTTAGATTTTGACTATTGTAGTCTGAACTGTGGTATTACCAAAAGAACATATTTTGTTAAATACCCATTGCTAAAAATGACATAGTCTTATTTTATCTCCTTTCCTCAATATAAGAGGGAAGCCTTTTCTATTTGTATTACTGCTTCCCACTGAGTCATCATCTCAAATGTGGGGAGAGGGCATTCCTTAAGTATATATAGATATGTACATGTACATGTTTTTCTATTAAAAAGTTAGGTAGTAAAACCTCATTATGTTGGTACCAGCATTCTTAAAATATATCTAAAAAAAGAAAAATATATTTATATTGATTAAATAAGTAGTTTATTTGGTATTCTTCTCTTCTTTCTTTATGTATACATATATAATAGGTCAAATATCATTTACCCTCCTTCATCAGCTTTTAATGTCTTTCACAGAAGACCTGACCTACTTTACCAAGTATGAATTATTTCAGTTCTTCACATGTGCCCTTTTCATATGTTTGTATCATATTTTTTTTTTACTATGATCTTATAGTGCTTGCTCTGTCACCATTCAGTCATTCTTCATGACTTTGTTTTTTGTGAGATTGGGCTTAACTCTCGATTCTGATAACACATTTATATGCCTACAGTTTAATTCCTAAAGTCAGTAAGAATCTCTTACAGACCAGAGTTTTGGGAGCAGATCTTTCTGTGTGACCAGATGGTATATTCCTGTTGACCTTCCCATATGCTCCCTGTACTCTGACCTGTAACACACTTGTTTGCTTTGAAAATATTTGTCCCATTGAGGAGCTGTGTGCTGCTTTCCCAAGTGTTGTGACACAATTCTATTGATTGAATTTTTTGACCTACTTATTCACAGCTGTATATCCTCCCAAACTACCTTTTTCTTGTCCCCTTCCTCAAACTGTATTGTTTTCTCATATAGTTTACCTCGTCCCAGAGAGGGATGACCTTTTTGTCTGAATGAAGTGCTAGACTTTCTGTAGTGACAGCCTGATGACAAATATTCTCTCTGTAGCTGTAAGCAGGTCACTTAATCTTTCTCCTCTTTTCCCATCTGTTAAATTGAGATAATGATACTTAACCAGCTGCTAGAGTGGTATAAGTATTAATTAGTTGATATTATGCTCATTCTTTGAACATGAAATATGCCTAAGTAGTGTCTCTGTTTGCTAAATTGTCTGTTAAGAAGTCATTGAACCAAACCTACACGCAGGCATCCCATCGTTCGGCACCTTCCTTTCTCCACACACCCGTTTCCTTCCTTTCAGCGGTGGCCACCATGCTGTTGGTGCTCTGTTCCGTTTTAACAATTGCCCTTAGTTTTCCAGTCTGTGGAAAATGCTCCTTCACTCGAGCAAGATGATGTAATGGGAAGGGTGTTGACTTCGGTGTCTGGAGACCTGATGTGAGTCTTGGTGCTCTCAATTACAGTGTGAGTTTGGGCAGGGCACTTGGTTGCCCTAGATTTACTGCTTCACTTATAAAAAGAGGATTGTACTTCCTGACCTGCCTACCTCTCAGGGCTGTTGTGGGGATCCAGTGAGATGGGATACATGTAAGTGTGATTTTGTGAGGTAAAAAGTATTATACTAGGGGAAAGAATTAAGGAATTTAAATGCATAGGTTTTGGATTACTTTTCAAATGACTGAAAAGAGACAAATTGTAAGCAATAGGTTTCTTGCTTTAACCAACCTCTCGAGTGATGAGACACTAAAGTGAATTTCAGATTACTAAGTGAAAAGGATTCTGGGGCAGTCTTAGTTTTCTTCAGTCACTATGGCCTGATACTTTTTGTGGCTAAGCTTTTCTCCTTTCAGGAATGTGGACTTGACCTAGGACAAGTCTGCAGATGTAATGGGTGAAACAGAAGTGTACATGTTGGCAAACCAAAGAATGGAAGATTTTTTTACTTTTAGTAACTTGCAAGGGTATACAAGGTGGATATCTGTTATGCGATGTTATCAGAGGTATTGTTATTAGCTGGCAGCTAACACTGCTAGGATAGGTAGTTTGGGAATGTAACTCATAGTGAAACCATATAGGGGAAATTATCCGAAGGACTGCATCCTATGATTTGAACCTAGTAAATTTTAGTGTGTCTTCCAAACCTGAAAGTCTGTGCTCCTAGAATGTATAATTCAAAGAACTTCTGCTACCTACATAGATCCTAATGATGGGCAAGTATAAATACATGTGGTTACTAGTTGCTAAACTCTGAAATCTATAGTCCAAAATGGCCAGCAGGATGGTTACACCAAAATTTATCCAATTTTGATATTTTTGTACTCTGCTACCATACCTGGAAACAGACAAATAGGTATTTTAGGGGTTTGTAATGGGAATTTGTATAAAGTGTTACTCTTTTTCAATAAATTGTGGGTTTTTTAATATAAAATAAATCCTTGGTTTTTTGTTTTTTTAATCATTTATTTCAAGATTGCCATGCTTGGAAGAAGAGATGGTTTGGGACAGGATCTGACTCACCATGTGTTACTAGAAAAGAGCTACGGTGCCTCTGCACCACCACCTGTCAACTTTTTGAGTGGCTCCACCCACTGGAATGCCCTATTTCTCTCCAGCTATGCTTTTCCTCGTCAAGGGTGGTGATACAAGAGAATGTCAGGAGATGTTACTTCATTTTCCCCATCCATAGAAAGGGGACATGCTACAATAAATGACTAAGGGATAAAATCACCAACTGTAAATCATCGTGAAAGCTTAAGGCAGTTGTGTTTCTCACAAGTTGGAAGAGAGAAGGACAGCCAGAAATCCATTATTGTTTTTGTAATGACTATTACCAAAACTACTTCTTAGGAAAGCAAGTGATGAAACTCATTCACCTGTTATCTGAAAATATCAATAATTGATAAAGCCTTAGTTGTAACCTCTCTGTAAGCAATTTATGTATTAAAGAGACAGGCTTGTAAACAAAGGATTGCAGCTCTATGTGGAGCTCTATGTGGACATTAGACTTAAGGGTGAGAGACTAAGATTATTCTCAGTCCCTTTAAATTAAGCAGATGCATCAGAATCCCCACTCTTTCTACAGAATTTAAATTTCTGAGGAGGGGTCCAGGCCCATGAAGTTTGAGAGGTAATACAATTCCTAAGTGCTCCTGACAAGTACTCTTAAGAGAAAACCTGGATTGTCAGTCATACGAAGTACACACCCGCTCTGTGTGAGCTCCTCGTTATGGATGCCATTGTCCTGCAAACCATGTTGTTTCTCCTACTCATCAATTCGTACTTTCTATGTGGATCCGTGCCCAGGTCCAGGGAAAACTCCATACCATTCCCACATTCCAACCTTTTAAAGCCTGTTGTTAATCCTAGTAAAATCTGGTAATGGGTTTTTTTCCTTCCTTTTGAGTGTGGCTCAGGTATAAGATTTCTGCAGTCTCCTCCTACCCCACCCGAGATATACCCCAGGTACCCCCAACCTGCCTTAAAATCTCTGTAACTAGCTGGTACCATGGAAACTGGCGGAAGTCACTGCAGGTTCCAGGATTATGTGGGGACAGACTATTGAGTTTAAAAGCACAGTGAGAAACGTTCTCAATGCAGAACTCGTGGAATTTTTAATACCCATCTTCCATTGACAGGTTTTTCCCACATGGCCAATATCAGCAATTAGACAAGAGATATGACTTTGTTCAATTAATATTTACTGATCACCTACCATGGGGCAGTGCCATTAAATGTTGACAAGGATAAAGGATATAGAAAATAAATAAGACCCTCTCCTGGGCCCCAGGAGGGTGAAGAGTGTTAAGTGGGAAGAAAAATGAATTTGAAATCTAGCACTGGGCTCTGCCAATGATCAGCATTGTGAGCTATGGAGATCTCCATCCACTATTTTCTCATTTGTAAAAGGAAGAGCTTGGCCCCATGCAGTGGTTCTTATCCATAACAACATGGAAGCATTTGAACACTGGAGGTTTTTGAAACTTCCCAACTCCAAGGATTTAAACCCAGGTTACGGAAATCAGAATCTCTGAGAGGAGGGTATCAGGTGTGAGTTTCCCAGGGGATTCCACTTCACGTTCTGAATTGCACATCACTGGGCTATGTCATCTCTCAGGACCAAGCTTGCTCAAAAAATTTTCTATATAAACCACATCCGGGTACTTCATACATGAAATGTTGTTTATTTACCCTTTAACATTATGGTTCTATTTTCTGGTTTTAGGGATTTTTTTGTTTGTTTGTTTTGGTGAGAGGAGGGAAGGAGTTAAACGGAGATGGTCTTCAGAAGCTGTTGTCATATTTCTTTGGTAAATAACCTTCTTTCTTGTCATTTACTATTATTTTTTAAGTCACCACCAATAGTCATTAATACAAAGCAAATTCTCGTTTAAAGAACAGCCTTCTGTTTAACAAATAATATTAGCTCAAGAGTGTAAGTGTTTATCGTATTATAATCACTGAGTTATTTTCCTTTGTTATATGAAAATTTCAGGGAAGTCCTTAGTCAAAGTATAATCTTGCTACATTTATTTTTAATTGAATAACATTTCTGTGATTTGATTTTATTTATGTAATAATTTCCATGATTTATTGCTTTTATTCTCTGTTCCCCCCAAAAGAAAAAGTAAACACACACACACACACACACACACCACACACACACACACACACACACACACACACTCTAACCAGTTGGGGAAAGATAAAGTTTGAAAACTGGACAAGTATTTCTTAACTGAGATGACCTGGACCAGAGCACTTTCTTCTCCCAACGGGGCTTTTTTCCTTTTAATCATTTTTGTCCATTAAGTTTCCTGTTTCGTTTAACGTTGTGCTTTCCCCAGGTGTCTATTGCTGCTGCCTAACTATAAAAAGTCCAACAGCCTATAAGAGACCTGAAATAAGCAGACATCTGAAACAAGGGTCAGGGTTAGCAGGTTAGAATATTTCCTTGGAGATGGGAGTGGAATACATGAAAGAAAAATGACCTCTAATACAGCAAGGAAAAAGGAATTTATTTTTGAAAATTATTTTTTACCACAATATTTATTTTTCCCAATAATAAAATTAAAATGTATTAATAATAAAGTAGAAAAATATAGAAAAGTATAAATAATTATTTTAAAGATTATAATAGCCATATTATTCAAAAGCAGAACTATTAATAATTTGATGTGATCTTCTCTAGCCGCCTTTTCTTTCCCAAAGATAAGCTTTGGAGTTTGTTGGTGGGTTTTTGTGTTTTTGTTTTTGTTTCTGTTTTTTTGCCGTATGCGGGCCTCTCACTGTTGTGGCCTCTCCCGTTGCGGAGCACAGGCTCCGGATGCTCAGGCTCAGCGGCCATGGCCCAGCCACTCCCCAGCATGTGGGATCTACCTGGACCGGGGCACGAACCCGTGTCCCCTCCATCAGCAGGCGGACTCTCAACCACTGTGCCACCAGGGAAGCCCTGTTGTTATTTTTTACTTTTTTTTCATAGTATCACATAGTAAAAATAATTTTGATTTCTTTTTTGTTTTCCATTCAAGTATATAGTAATATAC